GACTTGAATTTTTTTGGCATAAATCATTATATCAAAATGTTTTCAAACTGGCCTATTAATATACATTTTTCTCGACCTAATTAAAATTAGTTTGACATATGCATAAATGTTAGTACACTCAATACGGAAACATAAATTTTGCCAAGTTATTTAAAAATTAGATATAGATTTTTATTAAAACCCATTTTAATAAGAAGTAGCTTGCTAGTGGAGGGTATTTAAGATTCGGCATAGCCGAATATAGCACACTAACTTGTTGTTCTTCAATTGGTACTAATCACATCAGAGTAGATAATTTTATAAGTACTACTTATAAGTTAATGTACTTTATAAAAATCGGCTAAAAATTTTCAAACTAAATTATTTGTAATATTGAAATAAAAGCATTATTTTATATAAGTTTCTGAAAATGACGCGGTCAAAGATCGAAAAGCTTGATGATGTCATGTTGAAGTTGAAGTTAGATTACTTAATTCGTATTTCTTCATATTTATAATTATAATGTCAGACTTTAAATTTCAATAATATAAAATTGATGGCAGATTTTCACTGATAAGATTATACAGTGAGACAAAATAATCGAAAATCGAAATACCTGGGAAGTGATACTATTTTTCTGAAAGGTTGATCCGAGTAGAACATAAAACTGTTTTTGAAATTTCCCAATCACCTCCAAATTCTTGAGATACGGGTAAATAACCGGTTTTTCATATCTTTAAGCACTTAAAAGTCAGTAACTTAGTTGAATCTCAACCGATTTTAAGTTTATGAAAACAGAGGCTGAGGCCTTTGTAATGACATATATGATGTTTAAGTAACCTAGAAAAATGGCGTCATGAAATAACTCCCCACAAAATAACTCCCCAAAACAAAAATGAAATAATTCCCTAAAAATTTGTTCAGAAAGCAAAAACAACGAAATTTGGGGATTTGATTCGTTTTTTGGGGCATTATTTCACATTTAAAATCGGGAGTTATTTCATTATGAAATAATTCCTCAAAACTCAAAAATGAAATAAATCTCTAAAAATATTTTTGGGGATTTATTTCATTATATTAATTTTAACACCCGAAATAAAAAATATATGGCTGATAGCCGGCCTTCGGCCGGGCGCAAAGGTTTTATCCTCTGGGGTACATTGAACACCGGCTTCGCTAAGAATACACTCTTCTTGTATCAAAAGTGTTCGGCCTTAGGATGGCTATTTAGGAAATCTTTATTAAGCGAAGCCGGTGTTGGTCATATTATAGAGTGGTAAATCCTTGCATCCGGCCGTAGGCCGGCTATTTAGGAAATATTTATTAAGCGAAGCCGTTGTTGGAGTAGAAAGTTCTTGCGCACGGCCGCAGGCCGGCTATTAAGGGAATCTTTATTAAGCGATTAAACTGAAATGTATTAAACTTTGAAGCCCCACTCGAAAGTATGAGCGACCTACTATTTTTAGAAATGTCACTTTGTTATTTTTAAATGGTAACTTATTTCATTTTAAAATTATGGATTTGTTTCATATGAAATAAATCCCCAAAAATGGGGTGTTATTTCATTTTAATTTAGGAAGTTATTTCATTTCGTTGGGGCTTTTTTTCATTCTTAAATTGGGGAATTATTTCATAATGAAATAAGTCCCCAAATTTAGGGAGTTATTTCATTTTTGTTTTGGGGAGTTATTTCATGACGCCTAGAAAAATATGTGTGCATTTCATTGGCAAACATATTTTTAATTTTAGTTTTGCACCGTTTTTAAAGTTTGGAGGTGTTTTTCCAAAGTATTTTATATAGGAACCGTACAGTCGAACGGCTCTTTACTTTAGGCGAACTGTTCAAAATCGGTTATAGGACATGTAGCTGAACTAAAAATATGGGTGAGAGAATCCCATAAGGCCTCTTAGAATAATGAAACAGTGGGAAGAACCACGAAGATCCTATGGGGTGACTCTGATGAGAGCAAGATGAAAAATCTCCTCAAAATGAGCAAGTCTGAAGTTAGTATGAGCACATCTATGCAAAATTGGACGTGCGGATTCAGACGAATGTAGAGCATGTGGAGAGGACAGTGAAACTCTGGAGCCCTTTCTTTGCCACTGCCAGGCATTCGTCGAAGTTAGATCCAAGTATTTTGGAAGTGATGTTATTGCGGAAATAACATTCCTGACTAACACTGATTGGAAGATTCTTAGGAATTACGTTCAGGAAACTGAGTTTATGAACACTGTAAAATAATTCATTCAGTTCCCTTTTTTTTATGATAAGGAGCGCACAACAGGCCCGATACTGGCCTAGGTGTATTTCTTTGGATTTGATGTAGTATACAATCCTCCTATCAACCTACCTACCTAATATTTTCTAGCAATTGTACGTAGTACTTAGTAACAATGTTGGCAGTAGCAGATGTACATATGTATGTATGTATGTACATATGTAAGTATATACGTGTATAATAAATAAATACATATTCATAATTTTAAACAAGAGAAAATATGAATATAATACATATCATATATACTTAAGATAAAATAACAAGAAAAGTTTATTTTATACACACCTCATTGCGTACGTAATGGTCCCGTTCCGGTAAATTCTTAAAGCAAAATGCATGGGTATAATGGGATCCTTAAAGTCGCCGTGCATAATGAAATAAGTGTCCGGCGTCCAAATGCTATCGTGATGATGCAATGCATTTAGAAAATCATAATGTGACTTGTTGCCATATTGTAAACGAGGATCATTCCACTGTTGATTCAACAGAAATTCCACTTCATATTTCTAAACGAATTCAAATTTATTTTATTAATATGCAAAATACGATACAATAGAAAAAAAAAACAAATGAAATTATAAATTCAAAATATTAATATTAAAATTATATAGTTACCAGACTACTCTCATCAGGCGATGCTAAACTAAGTAGTAAAACGTTCACATTTACCGTAAGAGTACCTGTTTGTTGTAGTTGTTGGCATTGAGGTTAATAATTCATATTATAACAAATAGAAAAAATATATAAATAACAATTAATCAATTAATATAATTTTAATAATAATTTCAAAGAATTTCTTTCTAAAGAAACTAACGTTAAAAGAACAAAAATACACATGTGAACACAATGTACTAAAACGAATGTTTGGTCAAAGTACAAAAATAATTTAATCATCTAACAAATACATACGAAAGTGGTACATAAATTAAAGATAAAAGATTAATGATTATTTATGAAAAAAAAAACACAAGTAATAAAATTGATTGCCGTGGATTGCCACAAAACTTAAATCAAAAAGAAACGCAATTAAACAAAATAATGTTAAACATAATATTACAAAGAAAAAAATTAATTAAAAGATTTATTGCCGCAATTATCATTTGTGTTTAGCGGAACTTTAAATTACTTTAAAATATAATTAAAATTTTAATATTTGTTTAATGTGTTAAAAAGGTGTCATAAAATCAAATTCAAATGACAAAACTATTAAATTGACATATTTGTAAGTCTCTAATATAGATTAATTAAGATTTTAAGTCAATCATAAAATAAACAAACCGCGTCTATGTGGTCTCCTTGAATTTAGTTCTGTAGCCATATCTGGTGATGACAATCCACAGCAAAAGTCTTCATCTGTAAAATTTAACTTATTTAAAATCGATTTTACTTTTTCTTATTTAAGATAAAAAACTATTCAATGTATTACATATCGATCTGCAAATATTAGGAAAAACCATGAAAATTGCAAAATTTAAATTCCAACTATAGACTAGACTGTAGGGTAGACTATAGAGTAGACTATAGTCTAGACTACAGAATATACAATAGACTAACTATAGACTAGACTATACACTAGACTATAGACTAGCCTATAGGGTAGACTACAGAGTATACTATAGACCGGACTATAGAATTGACTATAGACTTGACTATAGACTAGACTATAGAATAAACTGTAGACTACAATAGAGTAGACTATAGACTAGACTATAGACTATAGACTGGACTATAGACTAGACTATAGACTAGACTATAGACTAGACTATGGACTAGACTATAGACTAGACTATAGACTAGACTATAGACTAGACTATAGACTAGACTATAGACTAGACTATAGACTAGACTATAGACTAGACTATAGACTAGACTATAGACTAGACTATAGACTAGACTATAGACTAGACTATAGACTAGACTATAGACTAGACTATAGACTAGACTATAGACTAGACTATAGACTAGACTATAGACTAGACTATAGACTAGACTATAGACTAGACTATAGACTAGACTATAGACTAGACTATAGACTAGACTATAGACTAGACTATAGACTAGACTATAGACTAGACTATAGACTAGACTAGACTAGACTATAGACTAGACTATAGACTAGACTATAGACTAGACTATAGACTAGACTATAGACTAGACTATAGACTAGACTATAGACTAGACTATAGACTAGACTATAGACTAGACTATAGACTAGACTATAGACTAGACTATAGACTAGACTATAGACTAGACTATAGACTAGACTATAGACTAGACTATAGACTAGACTATAGACTAGACTATAGACTAGACTATAGACTAGACTATAGACTAGACTATAGACTAGACTATAGACTAGACTATAGACTAGACTATAGACTAGACTATAGACTAGACTATAGACTAGACTATAGACTAGACTATAGACTAGACTATAGACTAGACTATAGACTAGACTATAGACTAGACTATAGACTAGACTATAGACTAGACTATAGACTAGACTATAGACTAGACTATAGACTAGACTATAGACTAGACTATAGACTAGACTATAGACTAGACTATAGACTAGACTATAGACTAGACTATAGACTAGACTATAGACTAGACTATAGACTAGACTATAGACTAGACTATAGACTAGACTATAGACTAGACTATAGACTAGACTATAGACTAGACTATAGACTAGACTATAGACTAGACTATAGACTAGACTATAGACTAGACTATAGACTAGACTATAGACTAGACTATAGACTAGACTATAGACTAGACTATAGACTAGACTATAGACTAGACTATAGACTAGACTATAGACTAGACTATAGACTAGACTATAGACTAGACTATAGACTAGACTATAGACTAGACTATAGACTAGACTATAGACTAGACTATAGACTAGACTATAGACTAGACTAGACTAGACTATAGTCAAGACTAGACTATAGTCAAGACTAGACTATAGTCAAGACTAGACTATAGTCAAGACTAGACTATAGTCAAGACTAGACTATAGTCAAGACTAGACTATAGTCAAGACTAAACTATAGTCAAGACTAGACTATAGTCAAGACTAGACTATAGTCAAGACTAGACTATAGTCAAGACTAGACTATAGTCAAGACTAGACTATAGTCAAGACTAGACTATAGTCCAGACTAGACTATAGTCAAGACTAGACTATAGTCAAGACTAGACTATAGTCAAGACTAGACTATAGTCAAGACTAGACTATAGTCAAGACTAGACTATAGTCAAGACTAGACTATAGTCAAGACTAGACTATAGTCAAGACTAGACTATAGTCAAGACTAGACTATAGTCAAGACTAGACTATAGTCAAGACTAGACTATAGTCAAGACTAGACTATAGTCAAGACTAGACTATAGTCAAGACTAGACTATAGTCAAGACTAGACTATAGTCAAGACTAGACTATAGTCAAGACTAGACTATAGACTAGACTATAGACTAGACTATAGACTAGACTATAGACTAGACTATAGACTAGACTATAGACTAGACTATAGACTAGACTATAGACTAGACTATAGACTAGACTATAGACTAGACTATAGACTAGACTATAGACTAGACTATAGACTAGACTATAGACTAGACTATAGACTAGACTATAGACTAGACTATAGACTAGACTATAGACTAGACTATAGACTAGTCTATAGACTAGACTATAGACTAGACTATAGACTAGACTATAGACTAGACTATAGACTAGACTATAGACTAGACTATAGACTAGACTATAGACTAGACTATAGACTAGACTATAGACTAGACTATAGACTAGACTATAGACTAGACTATAGACTAGACTATAGACTAGACTATAGACTATAGACTAGACTATAGACTAGACTATAGACTAGACTATAGACTATAGACTAGACTATAGACTAGACTATAGACTAGACTATAGACTAGACTATAGACTAGACTATAGACTAGACTATAGACTAGACTATAGACTAGACTATAGACTAGACTATAGACTAGACTATAGACTAGACTATAGACTAGACTATAGACTAGACTATAGACTAGACTATAGACTAGACTATAGACTAGACTATAGACTAGACTATAGACTAGACTATAGACTAGACTATAGACTAGACTATAGACTAGACTTTAGACTAGACTATAGACTAGACTATAGACTAGACTATAGACTAGACTATAGACTAGACTATAGACTAGACTATAGACTAGACTATAGACTAGACTATAGACTAGACTATAGACTAGACTATAGACTAGACTATAGACTAGACTATAGACTAGACTATAGACTAGACTATAGACTAGACTATAGACTAGACTATAGACTAGACTATAGACTAGACTATAGACTAGACTATAGACTAGACTATAGACTAGACTATAGACTAGACTATAGACTAGACTATAGACTAGACTATAGACTAGACTATAGACTAGACTATAGACTAGACTATAGACTAGACTATAGACTAGACTATAGACTAGACTATAGACTAGACTATAGACTAGACTATAGACTAGACTATAGACTAGACTATAGACTAGACTATAGACTAGACTATAGACTAGACTATAGACTAGACTATAGACTAGACTATAGACTAGACTATAGACTAGACTATAGACTAGACTATAGACTAGACTATAGACTAGACTATAGACTAGATTATAGACTAGACTATAGACTAGACTGGGTTCAAATACTTATTAAATTTTGTGGAGAGATTTGTTTTTATGTTAAAAAGAATGTCTGATCTTTACGAAAATGTAACGTATTACACAGTGCAACAAGATAAAACAAACCACATACAGACACTACTGTGTGATAAAAGATCAAAAAAAGACCCGTCTCGCAGTTTTGCCCAAAGTAATGTATCTCTTTATGGGCCGCCCAAGATTTTGGCGCCTCGGTGTTATTTTTGCGCAAAAAAAAAATAAAAATTTTAAATTCGATTTTTTAGGTGTTAAAAAAAAAATTTCAAGTACTTCAATAAATAAGGCCTATACTTAATATTTGTAATATCAATAAACCATTAACACTTATACGTACAGGTGTCAATTTGTAAAAACAGTGTAATTTCACAATGTAAAACTTTCCACTTGAAATTAAACAAGTTAGAGTGCTAAATTCGGCTGAGCCGAATCTTAAATACCCTCCACCAGCTACTTTTATATTAAGACTTTTCTAATTGGTCAAATATTTATAGAAATAAGTTATCTCATGTCTTAATTTGAAAAATCCCAAGATTTAAACAGCTTAAATCTATTACAATTCCAAGATTTATTGAACATTACAAACATTTATATTTTTATAGCGCTTAGCGATATTTAGTAATTTGCATGTATGCATGCATGTGTGTGAAAATTAAAGGATTTTCAAAATACATATATATAATCTACACAAATTGATAATGCAACTAGTTAAATACGGTTAAAGTGCTTTCAGGGGCAGGACCTAGATATGACCAATTATAGTCCGATCGTAAAAAATTCTTTAAGCTAAATTTCTGTACATAAAAGCTATATTTCAGTCAAATTTTATATCTATATCGTAATTTAGTAATAAGTAATGTGTGTTTAAGTGATTTTCGGAAGGGAACCTTGTATGGGACCGACCGCACCCATGTTATGAGCCGATCGTGAGAAATCTTGAAATAGAATTTTTGTATACAAAACTTATATTTGTGGCAAATTTTGTATCAATAGCTTTATTTGGTAATGAGTAATGTGCGTTTAAGAGATTTTCGTAAAAGGACCTTGTATGAGAGCTATGACGAATTATATATAAAAACAAAATTTCAAAATTCTGTATCTATATCATTATTTGGTAATGAATTATGTGCGTTTAAGTGATTTTCGGGAGGGAACCTTATATGGGAGCTTTGACCAAGGTTGGACTAATCGTGAAAAAATTTTGAAATAACATTTATGTGTACAAAAAAAGTATCAATGCCAAATCTTTTATGGGTATCACTATTTCCTAATGAGTTATGTGCCTTTAAGTGTTTTCTGAAAGGCACCTTGTATAGCAGCTATGATCAACTATGGACCGATAGGAAAACAATTTCACAGTAATATTTCTCTGTATATGAGCAATACTTCTGCCAAACTTTATAGTTAGTAATGAGTTATGAGCGTTTAAGTGATTTTCGGGAGGGGACCTTGTATGGGAGCTATGACCAATTATGGACCGATCGGAAAACAATTTCACAGTAATATTTCCGCGCATATGTGCAATACTTGTACCAAATTTATATGGATATCTTAATTAAGTAATGATTTATGCGCGTTTAAGTGATTTTCGGGAGGGGACCTTGTATGGGAGCTATGACCAATTAAGGACGGATCGGAAAACACTTTCACAGTAATATTTCTATGCATATGGGCAATACTTATACCAAATTTTGTATGGATATCTTAATTTAGTAATGAGTTATGTGCGTTTATGTGATATTCGGAAGGGGACCTTGTATGGGAGCTATGACCAATTAAGGACGGAATCGGAAACACTTTCACAGTAATATTTCCGCGCATATGTGCAATACTTGTACCAAATTTTATATGGATATCTTAATTAAGTAATGATTTATGCGCGTTTAAGTGATTTTCGGGAGGGGACCTTGTATGGGAGCTATGACCATTATGGACCGATCGGAAAAAACTTTCACAGTAATATTTCTATTCATATGTGCAATACTTATACCAAATTTTATATGGATATCTTAATTTAGTAATGAGTTATGTGCGTTTATGTGATATTCGGAAGGGGACCTTGTATGGGACTATGACCAATTAAGGACGGATCGGAAAACACTTTCACAGTAATATTTCTATGCATATGGGCAATACTTATACCAAATTTGTATGGATATCTTAATTTAGTAATGAGTTATGCGCGTTTAAGTGATTTTCGGGAGGGGACCTTGTATGGGAGCTATGACCAATTTTGAACCGATCCAAAAAAAAATTTCACAGTTATATTTCTATGCATGTGGGCAATTTTCATACCAAATTTTATATGGATATCTTAATTAAGTAATGATTATGCGCGTTAAGTGATTTTCGGGATGGGACCTTGTATGGGAGCTATGACCAATTTTGGACCGATCGGAAAAAACTTTCACAGTAATATTTCTGTGCATATGGGCAATACTTATACCAAATTTTATATGGATATCTTAATTTAGTAATGAGTTATGTGCGTTTATGTGATTTTCGGGAGGGACCTTGTATGGGAGCTATGATCAATTATGGACGGATCGGAAAACACTTTCACAGTAATATTTCTATGCATATTGGCAATACTTATACCAAATTTTATATGGATATCTTAATTTAGTAATGAATTATGCGCGTTTATGTTTTTTTCGGGAGGGGACCTTGTATGGGAGCTATGACCAATTTTGAACCGATCGGAAAAACTTTCACAGTAATATTTCTATTCATATGTGCAATACTTATACCAAATTTTGTATGGATATCTTGATTTAGTAATGAGTTATGCGCGTTTAAGTGATTTTCGGGAGGGGACCTTGTATGGGAGCTATGACCAATTTGAACCGATCGGAAAAAATTTTCACAGTAATATTTCTATGCATATGGGCAATACTTATACCAAATTTTGTATGGATATCTTAATTTAGTAATGAGATATGCGCGTTTAAGTGATTTTCGGGAGGGGACTTTGTATGGGAGCTATGACCAATTTTGAACCGATCCAAAAAAAATTTCACAGTTATATTTCTATGCATGTGGGCAATTTTCATACCAAATTTTATATGGATATCTTAATTAAGTAATGATTTATGCGCGTTTAAGTGATTTTCGGGATGGGACCTTGTATGGGAGCTATGACCAATTTTGGACCGATCGGAAAAAACTTTCACAGTAATATTTCTGTGCATATGGGCAATACTTATACCAAATTTTATATGGATATCTTAATTTAGTAATGAGTTATGCGCGTTTATGTGATTTTCGGGAGGGGACCTTGTATGGGAGCTATGACCAATTATGGACCGATCGGAAAACACTTTCACAGTAATATTTCTATGCATATGGGCAATACTTATACCAAATTTTGTATGGATATCTTAATTTAGTAATGAGTTATGCGCGTTTAAGTGATTTTCGGGAGGGGACCTTGTATGGGAGCTATGTCCAATTATAGACCGATCCAGAAAATTTTTCTCTGAATGAATTCTATTGACATAAGATTTTAATTTGTAAAATTTTGTGAAGATATCAACATTGTGATGGAAGTTATTAACGAAAAACCCATATTCCGGGAGTATGTACTTTTCTATGGGAGGTATATGAAATTGTGGACCGATTCTGGCAATTTTCTGCACGGATCAAGATCTTGTGTAGAAACGAATGTATGGTGATTTTCATGGAATTATCTTGCATAGTTTTGGAGAAAATTGCATTAGAATGTGAAAAAAATGCTTATTTTTTTTCGAGGTTGTTTTAAATTTTGATTCATAACTTTTCCCGACGTGAACCGATATTGCTCATTTTCAATACCAAACTGTACCGGATAATAATGAATACTTTGGGTGAATTTGGTTAAATTATATTGCTTCGTTTAACGTGAGCGTGTTTTACACAGACAGACAGACAGACGGACGGACGGACGGACGGACGGACGGACGGACAGACGGACATAGCTAAATCGACTCAGAATTTCATAAGGACCCAGAATATATATACTTTGTTGGGTCTCAGATGAATATTTCTTGGTGTTACACACGGAATGACAAAGTTATATATACCCTCTATCACCACTGATGGTGGTGGAGGGTATAAAAATGAAGACGAAGTTTTTTTGAAGTTTTATATGTTCACAATTTTTTGACCATGAGAAAATTATCACTTCTTTGCAAAAATGATACAGAGGCCCCAGATCTTGGGGGCCATAAAAACAAGGTGGTTGACTTTGGGCATAGCTGGAAGATTCGGTTAATTTTTTACTCTTTATCACATAGTGGTGTCCGTATATGGTTATATTTGCATGACATTTACACATAGTGTTATTTAACTTTATATAAAAATTCGTTGCAGAGATATTAGTATATTTAACATAATTAATTATTCGAAGTAGATTAACGTGAGTGTAGGGCCAATATTTCTATGCGTTACAAATATCAAGACAAGCGCATAATGCCCTTCCAATTATATCGTTGTAGATAGGGTAGGTAGGGTATGTAAATGCTATGTTTTACAGATGTTTAGCTTTTATTTCTGCAATAAAAATGTATTCAAAGTATTTGCCTTCTTCACTATAATTTTTCCCTTCTTTTTGGCAATATATGGATTCCGATCCAAATAAAACTGGTCATCTTTTGAGGCCAATAAAGAATCAATTCAATTACGTATACCTTATTCTAAAGAAAATCATATCCCAGTTGGTACTGTAATCCGCAAATGAATTTAATATAATAATTACTTAAACTAGTAAAAACCACCATTTATATTTTCTATTTCTTGTTATTTATTTTATTTGTTTTAATTTGAAACATGAGTACATGGTTCTTGTAGATTTTTACAAACATTTTAGATACATATGTATGCATTTTAAATGTAAAACTCATGAAACCGGAAATAACAATATATCCGGTCAATTTATTTTAATGCAACCATTATGGATGCCGTCATATCATTGGTCTACGGCTTGTATTTGTTAACATTACTATAAAAATACCATAGGAATGGATACAAATAGACAGGGACACTTTCAACTTGAACAGTGTTTAGAGAATATCATAATGAAAATGACAAGTACTTTAGTAAATGAAATTTTTCAATAATTTTTTCCTAAAATACAAACAATAGACACTGACATCAATAGCGTTGAAGATGATGTCTGTCATCTATACGGCAACACTTTGCCCCTCAATTAATTCTTTTGAATTAATTGTCTTCTTCACATTTCAATAGGAATATTTTTTCATACATACACTCAGACATTCGTGTTTATATACAGTTATGTACAAAAATATAGTAACAGGCGAAACTAGGTCCTGCACATAAGAGAAATATCACAGATAACACTAAAAAAATTGTTAGGTTATAGACTTAATAAAAAATTAACTGAGACTGGATTTTTTAATTTCGTCAAGTCAATTTAAATTTAGGTTGTAAAATGTATCTTTTTTGATATTGTTAGAAAACTATAGAGAAAACAAAATTTCTTTCAACGGTTTTCCCGTTATGATCCGGTCCTAGTGCAAAGACTATTTGAACATATTATTTTGCCCACAGCTGTGTGCATGTACACACATACAAATTTAAGATTTAAAAATAGATAACTATGCAGACATACACAATATTAACTTACCATTTACTGGCGGCAACAATCGTTTATCGTAACGCTTTTTCTCCAACAATAAATCCAAAATTTCTTTGTCTGAACTTGACTCGTCAAATCTGCAAATGAATCATTGAAAGGCAATGGCAAAAGAAAAAATATCGTTCCATTGTTAGTGACGAAACAAAAAAATCATAAATTTCAAAGCTTAACAATTGAACAATTAAAGTGTTAGTCGAGAAAAAGATATGACAACAGAAATTGGTAAAAAATGCAAGTAGTTTCAGGTGGCCAGATGTAGAATTCTTTAAATTATGCGGTAAAAAAGTTTAAATAGCAGGCTAGAGAATAGTCCCTTTTGGATTTTTTACATAACTGCAGCTACACTGAACATAATCCATAACTAATATATATGATAAATGTCGTACATTGTACGAAATGTTTCGTGGTTTTGACAAAAATGTTTTGTAATATATATGAAATATTTTAGTATAATGCTAAATAATTTTAGGATATTTTTTATATAACAAAAATTGAATAGTGTAAATTTAGAATAAACATGATGACATTTACGAAATTTATTTATTCTAAATTTACATTAGTCTTAATATCAATTAAGAATGAGCATTTTCCGGTTCGATAAAGGCGACTCCACCTAATTTATAAAAAATATTACTACATCTGGACATCTTTATACTCCGATTTATCCATAGAAGTTACATACAAATTATTGTGTGAATGCAAAATCAAGTTTAGTGATATAAAATGTGTTTAGGTAAATAAAAAATAAATAAATTTAAAATTAATGATTGGAAATACATAAAATAGAAAAATATTGATAATGAAAAATTGCCATTGATTTTATAACTTTCCCTACATTAAATTAAAAACTAATATTGTATTGTCAAGTTCTATGTGCAAACCTCCTGAATTTCGATTACATTTTAAATGATTTCTGTAGGTCTTATCAGACTGATTGATTAGGAAAAAATTTTCTCTTTCCCTTACAAACGCATTACCATGATCCAAACCCGATGAGTCGATTTTACTGACTACCAAGTAATTTTTGGACCTTGGAACCAATTCCTGAAAAGTTATGGAGCTGTTAATTGGTACGTACCATTTTCCCACTTTTGATCTCCAGTAGTTGGCATCACTAAGAATTATTTAGCTAACCATGTCTTTGTGTAGTCTAGAGTGAACTTAACACTGTCCGTTAGGCTACCAGATCAGGCATGGAAAATTCAGTACTTTAGAACTTACTGATATTGTCTAGTCTATAGTCTAGCTTATAGTCTAGCTTAAAGTCTAGCTTATAGTATAGTCTATAGTCTAGTCTATAGTCTAGTCTATAGTCTAGTCTATAGTCTAGTCTATAGTCTAGTCTATAGTCTAGTCTATAGTCTAGTCTATAGTCTAGTCTATAGTCTAGTCTATAGTCTAGTCTATAGTCTAGTCTATAGTCTAGTCTATAGTCTAGTCTATAGTCTAGTCTAGTCTATAGTCTAGTCTATAGTCTAGTCTATAGTCTAGTTCTATAGTCTAGTCTATAGTCTAGTCTATAGTCTAGTCTATAGTCTAGTCTATAGTCTAGTCTATAGTCTAGTCTATAGTCTAGTCTATAGTCTAGTCTATAGTCTAGTCTATAGTCTAGTCTATAGTCTAGTCTATAGTCTAGTCTATAGTCTAGTCTATAGTCTAGTCTATAGTCTAGTCTATAGTCTAGTCTATAGTCTAGTCTATAGTCTAGTCTATAGTCTAGTCTATAGTCTAGTCTATAGTCTAGTCTATAGTCTAGTCTATAGTCTAGTCTATAGTCTAGTCTATAGTCTAGTCTATAGTCTAGTCTATAGTCTAGTCTATAGTCTAGTCTATAGTCTAGTCTATAGTCTAGTCTATAGTCTAGTCTATAGTCTAGTCTATAGTCTAGTCTATAGTCTAGTCTATAGTCTAGTCTATAGTCTAGTCTATAGTCTAGTCTATAGTCTAGTCTATAGTCTAGTCTATAGTCTAGTCTATAGTCTAGTCTATAGTCTAGTCTATAGTCTAGTCTATAGTCTAGTCTATAGTCTAGTCTATAGTCTAGTCTATAGTCTAGTCTATAGTCTAGTCTATAGTCTAGTCTATAGTCTAGTCTATAGTCTAGTCTATAGTCTAGTCTATAGTCTAGTCTATAGTCTAGTCTATAGTCTAGTCTATAGTCTAGTCTATAGTCTAGTCTATAGTCTAGTCTATAGTCTTGTCTATAGTCTAGTCTATAGTCTAGTCTATAGTCTAGTCTATAGTCTAGTCTATAGTCTAGTCTATAGTCTAGTCTATAGTCTAGTCTATAGTCTAGTCTATAGTCTAGTCTATAGTCTAGTCTATAGTCTAGTCTATAGTCTAGTCTATAGTCTAGTCTATAGTCTAGTCTATAGTCTAGTCTATAGTCTAGTCTATAGTCTAGTCTATAGTCTAGTCTATAGTCTAGTCTATAGTCTAGTCTATAGTCTAGTCTATAGTCTAGTCTATAGTCTAGTCTATAGTCTAGTCTATAGTCTAGTCTATAGTCTAGTCTAGTCTGCTATGCAGTCTAGTCCTATAGTCTAGTCTATAGTCTAGTCTATAGTCTAGGTCTATAGTCTAGTCTATAGTCTAGTCTATAGTCTAGGCTATAGTCTAGTCTATAGTCTAGTCTATAGTCTAGTCTATAGTCTAGTCTATCTAGTCTATAGTCTAGTCTAGTATGTCTAGTCTATAGTCTAGTCTATAGTCTAGTCTATAGTCAGTCTATAGTCTAGTCTATAGTCTAGTCTATAGTCTAGTCTATTAGTCTAGTCCTATAGTCTAGTCTATAGTCTAGTCTATAGTCTAGTCTAATAGTCTAGTCTATAGTCTAGTCTATTAATTTATACAAATGGGCAATAAAATTTGTGAAGTTGGTCTAAAATTGAAACATTCTAAATTTTCGAGACGATCAGCTTATAATGACCAAAGTTTATATATACAGAAAGAGTTCATTTTATATTTGAATGACAAATTCAGAACTTTCCATTTTTATTATTTTCAGAAAAAGATTTAAATATTATGTACAAATATGACCATTAGAAAAACATCGGTCTGCTTTCACTCTTAAATTGAAAATGTATTTGGAAAAGAAAAATAAACAACAAAGAATAAAAGGAAATAAATAAAACGACATGCATTTAAATTTACAGCCAATCACAAAAAAAAAACTAAAATTAAATGGATTGAAAATTTAGAAATAATTTGAAGAGTGTGCACTTACTTCGACCAATCGATGCCTTTACTGAAATTGATTTAAAAAAATATAAAAAAATACAATTTTTAAATAGTGTAGGATGGATAAAAAAAATAATAATTAAACTTAATATAACATTAAATTGTATTGCTAAAAGTGCTCTTAAAATGATAAAAAAATATATAAATATAAACGGGAAGAGATTTGAATAAACTAAATTCAAAAAGGAGACTAGAAGGAAAGTTACATTAATCATGCTTGAAATTGAACTTTTATTAAAATAAATTGAAAGTAATAAATTAAATTACATATTAAAAAAATTAATATGTAATTAAATCTTACGTTGCGGTTAATTAATTATGTAAATATGTTTGTTTTTCAGATTCGATTATTGGTTTGCAAAATGATCGAGTCTCAAGTGTGATTGATAGATGCGAGGTGTGAAGAAAAAAAAACAAGTGCAACAACAACTTACATGGGATGTTTATCTACGGATGTGGTGTCTGATTTGGTGGTTGCAGCGGATGTGGTTGATGTCAAATAACATAAAACCAGAATAACACTGGAGGCGGTATAGAAATTGATCGTGTTGCGTAGAAAACTATAATAATTTTGACCAATATAATTGAAGGCAGCCGTATGAGCAGAAGAAGATGCCTGACAATTGTAGTTGTGGTTGTTGTTGCTGCTACTGCAAGTTTTATTAAAACCTTTCCTATTGTTGTTATTGCTACAACTACTACTAGTATTGCTAGTGTTATTCATGTTAATGTTCATATTCATATCATGGTTATTGTTATTACATCGACTGTTTGAGCTAATGGCATCGTGGAGGGAGCATGAATTGGAAATAGAAGTAGAAGAGGAATTAGTACCAGTAGTACTAGTAGTAGTTGAGGGCGAAGTTGTAGAAATAGTGTAAGATGATGAGGTGGTGTTGGTGTAATTGGATTTATTTAGTAAATGATGCTTTCGCTGACAATAGCCTCTATATGGTTCAGACTTATTATGGTTGTTGTTCTTGCTGCTGCTGTTTGTATTGATGATGCCGTTGTTACAGCTACTCTCCCGGTTGCTGACGATGCCATCGTTTAGGCAATTTTTTATAAACAGTGTATTAATGCCCATCAAAGACTCTGCCACTGTTGCACAATTGGCCATCACCTCCATTAAATTGTTTTTTAAATCGAGGGCATTCGATGCTAAGGCGGTTCTGGCATGTGAAATTGTCTTTTGCAAACAATGGCCGGTTGCACTGCGTGTGTTAGCAAATGTGGCAAAGTCATTGGTTTGAGTGGCAACACAGTTGCAGTTACACAAATGTGTTTCGCATTGTTGTCCATTGCGTAACGTGTTTTCTGTGTGTTTTGGATAGAAAAAAGATAAATGACAGCGGCAGTAATTATTGTTGCTACAGTTGCTTCTACTGGAACAAGTGTTGCAGTTCTTGTTGCTGCTACTGTTGTTGTTCTTGCTGTAGTTGTTGGCGTTGATATAATTTAAGGGCTTTGGACTTTGTCTTGTATGATTTGCAATTTCGTCGCCAGCTAGTTCTGGTTGTTGCTGCTCACAGCAAAATCTATTGTGGCAGGCAAGAGGATAACAATTGATGCAAGATTTTTGTAGGCCTAGAACAGTGTTGTCTTCCGCTTTTTCGAAATTGAGCGTTTCTTGCGGAACTTTGTAATTGCTCCGGTTTATGTATTCTTTCGTTTCTAAACTATAAAAGTTACTTTTGTTTTTATTTTCTTCTTTCTTGCAGTTCTTGTTGTAGTCCTCAATTTTGCTATTGTTGTAAATTTTACTAACTGTTGCAGTTGAAGAAAAAGTCTTATTGGCTTTAGTTGTTATTGTAGTATTAGTAGTTGGTAGCTTTTGTTGTTGTTTTTGTTGTACTCGTACAAGTTGGCAGTCCTCGTTAGTGTGATTCTTTGTAAAGTATTGATTCAATTTACTACTACTGTATGTGTTATGTTGCAGGAGTTGCTTTCCCGTTTTGATGTTACAATTTTTTGTTCTATAGCTTGTGGCTATTGTTTTTGTTGTTGATGTTTCATTTATTCGATTTGTATGTTTGGCTGCTTCATAGGAACAGCCCATGTTATTGTTGTGGCCTATAATTAGACAAGTATAAATATTTGTGGATTAGTATTGGAATTATGTATTATGATTAGATAAATAATCAGATATTTGTATTATTTAATAAACCTTTTGCATTTATTTTTATTATAAGGTCGATAGATTGGTCTTAACACGTGATTACATTGAATGTAAATTCCCTACCACGGTCACTGATCAATAACTACTTAAATAAGTACTTTAAAACAGAGAGTTAAAAAGTTGTTTTGTTTTACGCACAAAGAAATACTCACACAGAATACTAACCTAAGCCCCTTAAACCTAAAATAATTCCCTTACTTATATAATTATATTTAAGTTATTAGTAGAGTACTTAAAAAGTAATGCTGACAATAAGTAGTAGTCATTGAAAAGTAAGTTGTTTTGTAAGTACGATTCATTATCATGTTTTAAACCACTTAAGAGGTGCAGGTTATAATTACAAATCCACTTCACATCTAATCAAATTTCTTTTGATTTCATTTCAATACTAAATAGTTCGCCTTTGGCATTACGGAATTTATTTAAAAATCATAGTACACAATTATGAAAAATAAACAATTTTTATTTTAACCGTTCTGTACAAACTCTTTAAAGCATTTTTATTTATTTATTTAAATGCTTTTTATAAACTTCAATAACTAAATAAATATTTTATTGCATTTAATTCGTCTAAAAGTCCATGTCTATCTAAATGAATGCGAGCTAGTTCAAACGATATTTAACCTAAATATTTTATATCGTTGCAATGTTGGTTAAGAGATAATCTTTATGTAAATAAATGTCATAAATAATTCAAATCTATATGTATGTATGTTTTAGCTTATATTTGCATACATACAAACACATTTCCATAAATACATGCACACATATTAAAAAAAATACTCATAAACGCAGGCTGCATAATAATTTTCATGTCTACGAGCTAAAGGATAATAATACGTTTTTTAAAACAAAGATAGAAATTTTCAAATGTAAAAAACGTATTAAAAGGAAAAAAAGTTTTAAACAATTAAAATACAAATACAAATTGTTACATACATGGATACAGTTGTATGTATGTTTTCATAAATACATACATATGTAATTCAAATGTCAAGCTGTCAGTATAAGATTATTTTGGTGAAAAATTTTATGTTGTTTATTTAATCTAAAAATTACAATTTTCTGTGTTTCTTTTCAAGTATTTAATTTAAACCACTACAATTTTTTTGTGTAGTATGTATAATTAGGACATTGCTTAAAGGCTTAAAACCACAAATATGTAATCTAAATATTCTTTAATGAGTTATCTTAAAAATTCTCAGACAGCCCCACAATCATAATATACAAATATTTTCTCTTCACATCAAAGGATTTAAACAATTAAATGGTTTCGCTTTTCAGTAAATAAACCCATGTCATGAATATTTCTTACAATAAGAATGTATGTTTAGAAATTTAGTGATAGATAATGGGTATAATATGTAGGAATTAAAAATTTTACATAACAGAGATTTTAAGAACAAACATTTTAAGTACATTCATGAAAGTCTCTTAATTGACAACTTAAAATTTTGTTGTAAATTCTTGCCGCCACTTAGCGTTGACAATAATTTAAATATAACAAGTAAGAGTTTATATTCCGCTACGCCGAATCTTAAATACCCACCATCGAACGATATGCGGTAAAAGTAATGCTCCCCTATAAACATTACTCATCAAATTAACTGAAGAGCATCTTATATGAGGGGTAGGGTTAATTATTGACCGTTTTTCATAAAATGGTTTATAAATTTTTTTAGACCGATTTTGGTTTATATGAAATATGTTTACTTCTCGACTTCCCTACACTTTCCGCATGAAATTCGGTTCCTATAAAAGTTTCTTATATCAAATTTCATAACTGTACACGTAATTTTAAGTCAACAATGATCGCTAAAGTAATTTTCTGAAGAGGACCCTATACGCGGGAAGGATAAATTATGGACCGATCCTCAACAAATTTGGTAGAGAGATTTTAACTCGTAACCAGCAATGAGCCTTAAAGTAATTATCTGAAGGGGGGTAGGGTCAATTATGAAACGATCCACATAAAATTTGGTAGAGAGGATTTCGCTCATGGACCGATCCACATAAAATTTGACAGATAGATTTTAGATCGCATGGAGCTTATGTGTGTCGAATTTCACCGCTGTACTCGTATTTTTAAGACAGTAATTATCGTTAAAGTCATTTTCTGAAGGAGACCATATGGACCGATCCTCATAAAATTTGGTAGGGAAATTTTGGCTCAGATGTGCTTGTTAAAGCTGTTTTCAATACCAAACAAACCCTATAGAGAATATTTGTGGAAAATTTCAACCCTCTAGATCAACGGTTCCCAAATGGGGGTCCGTGGACCCCTAGTGGTCCGTAGTAAAATCCTAGGGGGTCCGCGAAGACAAACAATATTCTGCTTTTATGTAATAATCCCAGATTTTTTGGTAACTTTTTGAATTTTATTTTTTCGGTTGTTTATCAGGAAGAAGCTAGGCCCTACAAATTTATTGTATCAGGCAATATCTTACTCTATATTGTATATAGAGTAAGATATTGCCTGATATGTAATTTTTATTTCCTGTATATGTAGTGAAACAATGTTTTTTATTTCAGACGGATAATGATCTGTCTTACAATTAAATAAGGGATACTGGTATTCCGGACTATGAAGTTAGATCACATTTCATAATTCAAAGACAAGCTTATACCATATTTAAGTTTGTCAAATTGTAAGCAAAATTGTTCTTGTTTGTAAGGACTAAAATTATATATTTCAAAAACTGAGCTGACTCTTTATGCACCTTCAATACGTTAATTTAGTTAATTTTAAATATAAATATTTCCTTCCGACGTGATACAAAGATTTTAACTTGATTTTATCGACCAATATTATTAAATTAACATCAGAAAATCCATAGCGTTTCGCGTAAATATGTAGGCAAAACCATGCAGTAAAAGTGTTCATGTCATATATTATGCGGATAATGCATTCCACAACAACATGGATGAAGTCCAACTTTCTTATATTATTTTCCCGAAAACTTAGCTCACTTTACCCCTCTGCAATCGCAATAAATTTTTGAAACGTGACTCCTTAAGCACATGCCGACAATATTTGATAAAGAAACCTTTTTGTTACCTTGAAGAAAAATGAACATGAAAGATCTCACGATCATAAAATTAAACATCATGTTAACATTTCAACAAAGAAGTCTTTCTATCTTCAAAACCATGCAATTAAAAACCTATCGGGAATATTTTATAGATATGACATCTCTACATTTATTTGACCTAGAGATTTATGGACTAGGTCAATTTTCGGACGAACAATTATTTAGAACAATAAGATATCAAAATATGTATGGAGGTCCGCGAAATTAAATAAGTTCCTCAAGGGGTCCGCGAAGTAAAAACCGGTGGGAACCGCTGCTCTAGATCATTCCTTTCGGACTCTATCGTGCTTTCAATAGACAGATAAACGGACGGACATGGCTAGATCGTCTTAGAATTTAATAAGGCACAAGAATATATATACTTTTATGGGTCTATGGCCAATATTTCTATGTGTTACAAACGGAATGATAAAATCAATATGCCCCCATCTTTTTTGATGGTGGTTATAACAAGTAAGAGTGTTATATTCGCCATCAAATCATATGCCATATACATATTTACATACATATTTCAAGTGAATTTTGGAAAGTGGTCCTATAAGTACAAAATTAACATTTTAGTTCCCATAAAACTTATTTATGTAGAGTTTCGTTGCTAAGCTGACATTTTGAAACAAGTTATGAGCGTTATAGTCAGTCTCTGATGGGGACCTTATATGGGGGTAAGGTCAATTATAGACTGATCCTTTAAAATTTGACAGAATGATTTAAGTTCCGATAAAACATGTTTATGACGATTTTTCTTGCTTTACTGGCAGTTTGAAGGAAGTTATGAAAGTTAAATTAATTTTTTGAGGGGGCGTTATAAGGGGGGAACCTCATAAAATTTGACATTGGTATAAATGCTTTTTTAAGCCAGTTATCTGCATTATAGTAATTTTCTGAAGAGGACTTTATATGGGGGCTAGGTGAATTTGTGGACCGATCAATTAAAAATATCTGTACAAAAATTCAGCTATCTAACACGTCCCGTTTGGTCTGTTTTCAGCAGACAGACGGACGAACGTACGGACGTGGCTAAATCGGAACCAGATATCGAAGTGTTACAAACAGAATGACAAAAACAAAATTGGATGTCAGGCGATCCATTTTTTATCTTCCTATCGGAATGATCGGAATTTGCACCAATATTAGTCCTATTAGATATTTTCCTTTAAGAGCTTTTTAATCGCTTAGTGGAATGCGAGTGAAATATGTATCAACATTTTGAAAATATATCCCATAACTGCTCGAGGGTAAGACACTTGAGAGCAATTTCTGACATTTGAAAGCGATCGAAGCTTCCATAGAATTAAAAAGAATTTTATTAGATATACCGATCGCTTTCAAATGCCAGAATTTGGTCCCAAGTGTCTGATAATAATATTGCATAGATGATTTTTTTTTGATTTTTGCTCTTGAAATACTGCGTAAATTAAGACTCGGTGACTTTGTGGGGATTGAAGTTCGCTGTTCTTGATGAGGCTCTCACTTATGGGGAATTGTCTATATTCTATGACATTGAAGCTTTCTTAAGTCAATACTTTAGAAGTTGTCACTTGATATAAGTATGAAAAGAAAATGATCGAACATTTGTTCAGCTATCATAGGTTATTATTATATAGCAAGACTAGGCTAATCTCACGATTATCGATATATCAAGTTTTAGGAGTACAGTTATGTGGAAAATAGGCGAAAAAATAGATTTCAACTTGTTTCAGTAGAGTTTGCCCTATTGAATCACATACAGATGGATCGACATGAATTAATCGTCTTAGATGAGAGTGAGTCTGTATCAATTGTTATAAATAATAACGATTGAT